TTATTATTATTATTATTATTATTTTTCTGCTGCAGATAGCATATGCTATTTTATAGCACGAAGTGAAACAGTTACGCCAGACACATTAAACATGTATTTTTGTGACAGATCGATTGGCTGCATTTGAATGAATTGCTTGCTGTAAAACTCTTAAAAGTCAGTGCATCGTATATTTGGTTTTGTTTGGTTTATACAACTTATCAACATCATGGCACAAGGGTAGTAACCCGTAACTCAAGCCTGAGTCCGAAGATTCTCAGTGCAGTGCACGAACCTCGTAGCACCGGCGAGGATACTGAAATACTTTGGGTAGATTTTCAACTCCAAATTTTGCCGGGCTGCGCCGTTAGGCTACTCTTTCCGATTTCCAACTGCCTATGGATTTTGTACATGCGCAACAATACACACAAGCGTCCGATCTTACTACCACGAGACCATGTTAATTACTAGAAGTCCACGTGAAACAAAATACCAGCCTTCACCGAGGCTTGAACCTGGCACCTTCATCATTTAAGACAGACGCCATGCCTCGAGGTATACCTCAAATCAGTAAAAATGAATTTCAATTATTTGTTATGCGGGGGTAGGGAGGGAGGGGGGGGGGGGGTCTGACATAACGTTGAGAATAAAGTCAGTATTATATATATATATATATATATATATATATATATATATATATATATATATATATATATATATATATATATATATATATCCCTACACTCTTACTTGGCTGACGTCTTGCCTCTGACCTCTGTCTGACTGCTTCTCATCAGCTCTCGTGGTACGATTTTTCTTGGTCGCTAACTTGGTAACCCTAGCGACTATGCTAAAATCTAAACAATTAAAATGCGCGAAATTTAAATTATAAATGCAAGAACACACATGTATCTCCTTAAAGCAGTGAATGATAAAACAATGTCAAATACAGTTTAACCCAAAAATAGTAAAATCCTGAAATTACAAATTTTTTTTAGCGTTGTCAGGAAGAGCGACTCCATTGTTGCGTATGTTCGGTTACCATTGCTTTTGCTCAACAACTACATCAACAACAAATCGTCACCTTCAACCAGCAACCATGAAGGGGGAGCTTTAGGTTATAATTGTGATTAGGTTATTTTCGCCATATAAAATGGCTCAGCATTGCTCGCCACCATGTAGCGCTGAAAAGGATTTTTGCAGTGTTGACGTGATCAAAGGAGATGATCGTTCTTGATACATTGTTCGTCTAGTCAAGTCTAGTCACTGGAAGTTCACGACAGCCACATGACTTACCAGGGTAACGGCAAATTTATAACGAATATCTTCTGCTCACACAAGAGCGGGTTTTTTCATTTTTATTGTCACAGCTTCGGCTAATCTCAGAGTTCGCCTGCTAGATAAATGTGTGATAAATATCTCGGAAAGTAAGCAAATGACCTCCCATAAAAGAGTTGGTTTTTTTTTTTCTTTCTCGGTTGACATTGACACTCTTGTTTATTGATTCAACTGTGCATGGAGCTACTTGGGTATTCTGGCACTATGTTTTTCTCCGTTAGGACAACATAAACCAGCTTTATACCAAATCCAGTTATATTTTTCAATTTACATGTAAGTGCCAGACCTATAAAAAAAAAGTAACAGTTCTTTGGTACCTGGGAACCGCTACCTTAGACTATCTAGAAAACATTGCACGAGATAGAACCGATCAAATCAATCAACTGTGAGCCATTTTGAGTGATAACCAACTGCATCACAGAATCATGAATTTAGACTAGCTAACACGGGAATCATGGACAGTTGTAAATAAGTGAAAACTTATTTGGAAGCTGCAGAGATGTGGTTTTATAGGCGATTGATGGGAATACCCCTTTTCTGCCTTTCTAGCCCCCAGTGGAGCATATATCCTCAACTAACTCAGCCAAGTCGTTCTATCTTTTGCTATCGCATGCAGCTCTCCCCACGTCCTCCCCATCTTTTTAACTTCATTCTCCAGCTCCCTTCTTCGTGTGTATTTTGATTCCTGTGCCTTTGTGGGGCCCTCACAGGAAGCAAAGAAGAGTAACACTGCACCCTACCAGGCAAGTCGTAAGAGGCGACTAAGGGTAGGGTTGGACTTGGGGTTGGCTACCTTAACCTGTAAAAACAATAACCACAAAAACCAACCAGCCATGGATAAGTCAAAAAGAGAATATCCTGGACAGATGAAAACAGTAATGAAAATGTCTTGAAAAAAACTGATTCACAAAGAGAAGTGATTGAACACATCAGAAAGAGACTATCTACATTCTTTCGTCATGTGATGTGAAGGGGACAACTGGAATACATCGTGACTGTAGGAAGGTTGGAGGAGAGGAGAGGCAGAGGAAGACCGAGTGTAAAGATGCTGGACAGTCTGACATCATGGCATGAAGGGTCATCTGTGTCAGAGTTGATTGAATGTGCACGAGACAGAAGGTTGTGGATAGACATTACTACCGCCACAAGGCATGCACTTTAAAAAAGAAGAAGAAGAAGAAGAGAAAGAAGAACATGAGATCGTCGGCATCTGTGGCTTAAACGCTGCTAACGCGCTTTGTAATGCTGAGGTGCTAGGTTTGATCCCAGCTGCAATTGATTTGATAGCAGACCGCCTTGCGTTGGTTTTGACAGGGGTATTGAGACCCGACCACACAGTGAGCAATGGCAAAGTACTGCACGTAAAATTGCCGAGTAATATTACAAAAAGCCAAAATAGGATTGGGTTGGTTCTGCAAGATCATGCAAAAAGAAACGCAACGTGTTTAAACATAGAAGCCCAGGTCACCAACTGTTGACTAATCTTTGTTCTATGTCTATTCCACAGAACGGTTTCCTGGAATTCCAAGCAGTGGAGCCAGCTTCTTCAAAGTTGGACCTAAAGTGGCCGTCTTTTGGAAGTTTGTGTGGTCTGGCTATAGCCGGGCTAGGATTCATAACACTGCGCGCGTTGTTCACACAACACTCCTAATGCTAAGACTACTCACATATGAATTCTTTTAATACAGCTGAGGATACAGCTGGGTCTGATTCTGTTAATCTAAGTGTGGGATTGAGCCGAGGACCATGTGTGCAACATTCTACGCAAGCAGCGACTCTCTAAACGGGAATTAATTTTATTTGAACGAAGCCTTCCACAGTTCGTTTTGATTCTGTTAGGCCTAACTGGAAATGGACGGAACTGTTAAACTATCTAGACACAATTTCTGATGCAGTGAAAGTCTAACTGGAAATGGACAGAACTGTTAAACTGTCTAGACAACATTCCTGATGCAGTAAAACTTCAGGCTAGAATAACTTTTAATTTTACATCAAAAGAACGATTGCTAAACTTTGTTTTAATTATTGTTACAGTGGTGAGGAGTGATAAAAGACTGTTAAACTTTCTACATAACTTTACAAATGCCGACATGAATCGAATTTAATGTTAAATAAACGCAGGAAGACTGCTACAATTTGTTCTGATTCTGTTGAAGATAAGGTGGAAATAAAAACCATTCAACACCATATTCCTAGAAAAAAAAAATGCACTATTTTTACGCCCTTTTCAGGACGTAATTTTTTGTTATTTGAAGCCCCACTCTGGCTTTTGCCAGGGGCCGCAATATAGACAGGCCATAAATATTGCCAATTGTCTGAACGCGGTTTCTGGGACCTCTCCACGGTGATCCCCATCCACATGGTGGCACTTTGTGTTATCGGGTGTTTATCGCTTGTGTGATGTCCTAGTGGGGTAGAAAGTCAGTCAGTCAGTCATATTCCTAGAACAGTGACTCTTCTGGCAGAAACTATTATTATATACTTGAAGGCTGCTTCAGTTTTGTTTCCTAACTCCTCTAAAGCAGTGTGGAAATGAGCCAGGCTGTTCAAAATTCTACATAATATTTCTAATATAGTGAACGTTCAGGTGAGACTAATATTTAGTGTGATATAAACATGAGGATTACGGAGTTTGTTTTGAAACTGTTAACAGTTAGGTTTCTGTGTTCGCTATACACAAGCTGTGAATAGAAAGCTCAACGAGAAATCACAGAGGAAGCTCATCGAGAAATCCCAGAGCAAGAATTCTACTCTCCGAATGGATAGAAAGCATTCAGAAGTCGCAGTTACCCTCCGTCATCTGGATCTACATACACATCTAGGCACGCAGAAGTAAATAGTAATGAAAGAAATGATCAGCTGTCAAGTAATGAACCAATGCAAACGGGAAGAAACATTAGCATAGATCAGAAGTTCTCAGACTGGTTGCCGCGGCGAAAGAAGTTTGAGAACCGCTGGCATAGATGATATATCAAATCTATGCGGACTGGGTTGAGAAAAAACGTGGAATCTCTGAAACTAATACGATTGCCTGACTGAGGAGTAAAGTGTGCTGAAGCACGTTTATGCCGTTTTCGAGGTAAAGACAGGAGATACTGTAATAAACTTCTCATGGGGAACAATCAGTAGAGGTACCTTGATATCCCGCCTGCATCAGTTGAGTTGAGTTGATTCAAGAACCGACATCACAGCACTGGGAGCATTCTCATAAGCGCTTTGTCACCATCTTCAGCAGCCATCGCAGAGTTCCAATACTAATAGTGCCAGTAGATTAAACAGACGGCTTGCCTTTCCTATCAGCGTCAAGCATCTGTCAGAACCTCTCGTCACTCCCCGCTGCATCAGTCTCATCAGACTGTGGTGATCCATTTGCTCCTCTGAATTGTACACATTCATAGGAATGCCGCAAGCTGCAAAAACGTCGACTATGATAACATAACATAACGTCGGCTGTCTAAATACAAGAGCAAACACTATGGTCATATCAGTGGGTACCAGCATAGGACTGCAGATTGCAGCAGGCTGGAGTGTCCGTTACGAGAGGCCCAGTTATCATTTCTGTAGATGTTGAAAGGGGATTTGTCATGTTGGCTTGCTATTCAGATCAAGTTTTTGTAGCCACACGGTGGTCAGTCCAGCTTGTAGCCCCCAGAAAAAGGTTGGGGGGGGGGGGGGAAATGCTCCTAGGTTTTGTCCCCCCTTCTCCTCCCCCACTCCTCCTCCACATCACCCACACCTTGTGTTGTTTCCAGTGTCATTTTTTATGTTTTTCTGGGTGTGGAAAGATCCTTTGCACTCCTGCCAGTCCCATCTTAAGAGGCGACTATTTAGGCGTGTTTTCTTGAAAGTCTGGGTGCTTCTGCCTGACAGGCGGGGAACAGTCTGCATGCAAATAAGCCATATCTGTAATAAGGATGTGCACGAAAAGCTCAAGCTCTGGAACAAGACCAACGTCTAGAAGTGGACGAACAACCAACAGTTTCTGCCGGAGTTTACAGCTGCTGAGCATTGAAAAGAAAAAGTCATGCTTTTTAAAAACTTGATGAAGTGGTTCGATTGGGTGTTAGTGTGTGTGTGTGTGTGTCTGTGTATGAGTGGGTCGGTGTGTGTATGGGTGGGTGGGTGTGTGTATGGGTGGGTGGGTGTGGGGGGGGGGGGGCGCCTGTTGTTTGTTGTCAATCATTGATCTCTCACAGCTTTGTGAATGCCCATAAATTAGTGTTTGAAATATTAATTTAGAGATATCGTTACGCCTTATACATTTCCATGAGAGATTTTATAGTTAAAATGTTCTCTTCTGTTCCTCTTTTCTGATTTTAAAATGTTTTCCTAAGGCAGCAGCCAGATACAACATACTTGTTGCTATTTTGTAACAAGTGGTGTTACCTGTTGATGAAACAAGTGGTGTTGTATGTTTATGAAACAAGTGGTGTTACCTGTTGATGAAACAAATGGTGTTGTATGTTTATGAAACAAGTGGTGTTACCTGTTGACGAAACAAATGGTGTTGTATGTTGATGAAACAAATGGTGTTGTGAAACAAGTGGTGTTACCTGTTGACGAAACGAAACAATTCGTGGTTGCGTGTTTATGACACAAGTCGTGTTACATATTTATTAAACAATTAATGTTAAATGAAACACGTGTTGTTATATGTTCATGAGACAAATAGTGGTAATTTTTTTTTCTTCCTAAATTAACGTAGTTCTTAATTTTTTAAATGTTCACAAAAGATAACTTGTTTAGCATAGCTGTTGACAGTATGGAATAATGACCGCTTGTCTGTGAGAATGGTTTTATAAAAAGCCACTTTTTAAGTGGCTTATCTTCTGATTACCAACTGTAAGGAGTCACTTTCTCATTGTTAATTAAAGTTAAAATTTCTAAATGAGGTTAATTACTAAGCATAAATGATGTGCCTGAGTTTGGTTGAATTGAATCGATTACGAAGTATAATGTATGCAGGAACAGGATCGAGTAATTAATAACTAAAGACAAGTGTGCAAGTTGGCTGAAAGTGTGCTATATGAGAAAAAGCACGAATCATGTGTGGAACATTGGAGAAACACGAAAAAGAAGCAGGTTATTTAAACTTGGAATGATCAAGAAGAGTAGATGTTATTTTCGAGGTTGAAAATACCCGGGTTGTAGGGCGCTTGGAGAATGAGAAGTGAGTGAATCTGCAGAGAAAGTAAACGTTAGAATAAGCAGCCGAGCGGGCAGAAAAATCTGACTAGTTCCGCACGAATGGCTAAATTGACGTCTGCGGAGAGACGAATATTTTCTGCTCAAGTGTTTGTCTGGTAGCTTTTAAAGTGTCTACGATGGGAGGTGCTGTGTTTGGTAATCCTGTGAAGATTTTGTTGAATTCACTGTCTTGTATGTGACCGATCTTGTCACCATAGACGTTTATACATCTGGTGCATTGACGGAGGAAACAGTTGTTGGAATCAATAATCGTTTCGTATCTGATCAGCGATGTGGCGTTTCTACTGTTCCTTATTGAACTCTCAATGCGCTTGAGAAGTCGACTTGAGCCCGAGAGAGTCGTTGCATCATCATATGTATCAGGCATTTAATTGTTCAGTAACCGCTGGATGGTCAGAATCACACAAGAGACCTAGAGATTGTTACCTTCTTCTTCTTGTTCTTATGGTTCTTGTTGTTCTTTGTGTTCTTGTTGTTCTTGGTGTTCTTGTTGTTCTTGGTGTTCTTGTTGTTCTTGGTGTTCTTGTTGTTCTTGGTGTTCTTGTTGTTCTTGGTGTTCTTGTTGTTCTTTGTGTTCTTGTTGTTCTTTGTGTTCTTGTTGTTCTTTGTGTTCTTGTTGTTCTTTGTGTTCTTGTTGTTCTTTGTGTTCTTGTTGTTCTTTGTGTTCTTGTTGTTCTTTGTGTTCTTGTTGTTCTTTGTGTTCTTGTTGTTCTTTGTGTTCTTGTTGTTCTTTGTGTTCTTGTTGTTCTTTGTGTTCTTGTTGTTCTTTGTGTTCTTGTTGTTCTTTGTGTTCTTTGTGTTCTTGTTGTTCTTTGTGTTCTTGTTGTTCTTTGTGTTCTTGTTGTTCTTTGTGTTCTTGTTTTTCTTGGTGTTCTTGTTGTTCTTGGTGTTCTTGTTTTTCTTACGTGTGTGCATAATGTTTCTTTCCCTCCTTGTTCCCGTCCACATAGTTCTTCCATCTCCTCTCCTCCCACTTCTTTCTTTTTGTTTCTCCTCCTTCTCCAGTTCTCCCCCTTTGTTTTCCTCCCTCATTTTCTTCATTAATTTATAAAAATAAGTGTACGTGAGTGTTTACGCAGTAAAAATTAACAAAGAGTAGAAAGGAGGAGTAGGAGAAGAGGGGAAGGTGGAGGAAGACGTAACACAAGAAGAAGAAGAAGAAGAAGAAGAAGAAGAAGAAGAAGAAGAAGAAGAAGAAGAAGAAGAAGAAGAAGAAGAAGAAGAAGAAGAAGAAGAAGAAGAAGAAGAAGAAGAAGAAGAAGTAGAAGAAGAAGAAGAAGAAGAAGAAGAAGAAGAAGAAGGAGAAGCAGAAGAAGACGAAGAAGACAAAAAAGAAGAAGTATGTATGTGTATTTATGTGTATGGGTGTGTGTGTGGCTGTGTATGTGTGTGTGTGTGGATAAGTATGAGCATGCTTGTTTATGTAGGTTTACAGGCATGCATATTTGAAAATACGTATTCGTCATCTATGCATCTGTATTCTACCCTTCTACATTCATACTGAGTATTTTGCTTTACCAACATAACATACATCAAATGATGTATGAAAGATGAATGTCTGGAAGGGCCGAATCTAAGACGTACCCAATTTGTCACACCTTGACAACTATTCAATTTGTTTCTTCTTTCATTTATTTGTTCGTTCTTCCTCCTCGTCTACTCCTTCGTCTTTTTTTCCCTCCTCCTCCTCCTACTTCCTCTCCTTCCTGACTGGGGTTTAACCCCACCTGGACGAACAACGAGTGATAATCTCCCAGTGACACAAAGGGTCACCATTCAGCTGAGAATCTCCCGGGCGCAACTCCCAGAAACCCGCTTCAACCGTTAGATTATATTAGGACCCCCGACCACAGCCGGGGTTGAGCTTTAAAATAACAAATAGAATGTGTCTCATATCGCGGCGAAGCTTACTTTAGTCTCCCTCCTTATTCTTCCTCCTTTTTATTCTGATCATCTCCATGTGTTGGTTCCGGAGCCACATTATGGGGAAAACAAGAATACACCCACTGCCTTTCCAGCAAGCGTGTCGTAGAAGTTGACTAAGTGGGGGCTTCCTTCAAAGTCGGAGTGCATCTGCCCTAGAGGCAAGCAACAGCCAACTGCACAAATAAGTCAGTAACACGGATGTACATGCAAAACTCAGGCACAAAGCGAAAGTCCAAAATGGACGAACAACCAGGACCTTCCGCTAGAACAAAGCCGGTGAAGAAAGAAGAAGAAGAAGACTGTAATCACCAATTTTGATGACTACACGATCAAGTGAGTTTCTATAATAAACGGAGTTGTTCTTTAATTCACAACAGCTTGAGTTTTAATGCTGATTCAGTGTGGGCCAGTTTACATTTCCCAGCGGCCTTTACAGAACACAGTTGTGCAGAACATCTCCAGGGGTTTGTTGGCTTAGTCCACAAGCATGTAGATTAAAATAAGAACAAAATATATTAATGAGGTCACCATATCTCACCTAATTATGCTCTAAAGTAGTTTATCTGAAGACCTAACATTCCACGCACACACACACGCATACACACACACACACACACGCACACACACACACACACACTTAGGGCCTTTTCTAGCGGTACTCATTACACTGTTCCCTTTGGTTTTAAAGTCATCAAATTTTGTCAGTGCTTCTATAATAGACACTATGTGGCGAGTACCATCACCGTTTTTATTAACATATTGTGGTGACGACAGGTACTTTTTTTTTAAGTCCCACAAATATTCTATTGCTACAGTTTAGGGTTTTCTGTAACCTAGTTGTTACTCGGAAAGTCGTCAGTCCATCTGTTTCAAAGACTGCTAGAGCTATGAGAGAATAAAGAAAAG